TTCGTCTTTTTCGCGGGACGCACGTGACAATATTTTACGACTGTCCAGCATATGCAAGCGAACGTCAGCAACTGATAAAACTTAGATTGGCCGATATATTAGTTGACCATTAACCGATGAGGTTGTGTTAGGTCCTTGGCCTGACACCAGCAGCACACATGTGGTTACACGAGCCGTCATCGCTTTCTTAGAAGCCACTGGACTGGATGCACGTCTGTAGAGTTACCTAGCTTAATGAGAACATATGATCTCTCTACCTTACCATCGTCATTCATCACTCTTTCACTCCCCAGTCACCCTTCCCCAGTGTAGAAGAGCAGGCCAGGGCAAACTATAGCTCAGGCCGACCTCTCTACCTTTCAGTAAATAAATTCTCTCTCTCTTGAAGAACATCATGTGACTGAAATTCTTGGCATTCTTCACTATAGCGTACCTCATTATTATTGCATCACTGTTTTGGGGCATTGAACCCAAACCAACATCATCAGAATGAATTCATGTCACTGATTCGAGGTCGATGATGTTGGAAAGCGTGTGTGTGTGCCTCTGAACAATGAGCTCCTTCTTAGATGGCCATTTTTAGGTGAGGGATATATGCCATGGCTTTGCTGCCTCATTACTTGGAAAGCTCTCCTTATATGATGAGAGTTCACGGAGGTCCATGGCATGTTCCAACAGCTCTTAACATAGCCTGCATGGTGAAGAGAGACAAAGTCACTATCACGCAAAGACACATTACAAGATAAAAGTAATTACCATATTTACTTAATGGTAGGTCAAGCTACCTCATGAATGATATAGATTGTAGTGCCACCATCACCATCATCATTTTTCAATCACCGCGCCGCGCCTCTCGCGCAGCTGATGCCAGCTCGAGCTGCGCGAGGAAGAGAACAAGCTAGAGCACTTGGTGTGTCGGATGTGGACAGCCACCGCGGCTCCGTTTGTGGCGTGGAATAAAGTGGCGAGAGAATGACACGACCACGTTGGCCGCCGTCCCGTCTTCCTCTCTCGCTACAAGATCAACATTTTCGGGGGAAAGGGGTTCGTGTGACAATTAAAAAAATTTATCTGGCACAGCTGGCGACGGCCACTAACATGAGAAGCACGCATGCTGTGGCATGGTTGCAATCTATATTTCCCTTCAGGCTTTGCTTTTAGCATATATTTATTGCACACTTGTTCAGAGAATTTTTTGTTTAACTATTACCTTGTCATTGCTCATCATCTGAAGTGCCATAGTTTGTTAGAAGTGCATGTGTTCAATAAACAGCCAACACTCCTTACCAGATGCGCACCCCTTTTTTGAACTGTTATTACTAGCTTCACCAGCTGAAAGCTTCTCAGCAGTGGTGACATTACAAAAAGTAGAGGGTCACCTTCAAGCCTCCCTATATGAAATTATTCAAAACTAGCTGACACAGAAACCAAGGAATGTATAGAGTATGTTAATTGTGCTCTTTTATTGGTACTGTATTAGTAATTGTGACACAAGTGTGAAAAAAAAAGAGCTTTGTACCTACGGTAACCCAACCTACAACCCTCAGATTACATGCCCGATCATTTACCTTATTTAAACTACACTGCCAGGTACCATATTTTTATGTACAGTACAGGGACTTGCTTTTAATCTGATAGCATAACAGAGCTCAAATGACAGAAATTTTAGTGTCAGCTCCGATTGTTATAGTGAACTGTAAGACAGAAAAGTTTTTCTGAGAGCAATGTCTCAACTTAAAGTATTTGGGGATGCGCTTGCTTGTAATGTCAAAACATGTTTGAGCAGCCAAAGTGGTGATGAGGGCTAGTTGTTTTTAGTCACTTGTGTTCATATTCGTAGAAAAAAAAAAACAGATGCAGACGTGAGGAACACGTACGTAGGACTAGTGCTCGTACTGTGTATGAGTTTATTGATTATGTCTGCACATGTGTTTTTTTCACTACGAATATGGAGAATGAAATACAAATGTTTCAGCAAACTTTCGGTACAAGTTTCTTCAAAGTTACACTAGTCCCAGGATTTCTTATAATCTAGTATGTTATTGCGAGCTGTCTTCAATATTGTAATTAGATCATGCATACAAAAGGAAACTTGCAAGTTGCCAAATTACTGTACATGTGCCACACTAACTTTATAAACTGTGTACATGCTTGCCTTCACCAACGTGCCAAACATCATACCAGTGTGGCATGTTTGCCTTGTGCTTGCGGCATTGCCTTGTGCTTGCGGCAGTACAGCTTGACACTAGGATGTCAATCTGGGAAAAAATATGCCTAATAAGTCCCTTGGACCTTTTGTCATGGGCACACACAGTGCTTTCTACAAGAGTTTGTTACTCTTGTAGAAAGTTTCTTGTAGAAACTCCCATCCCCTCCTTGCATCCAACATTCCTTCTTGAAACAGTAATTTAACGATTTCACATAAAGATATACTTTTATTACCTTAATGTTTCTTAGATTCACTTGCAAATTTTGCACAAACATATGGTACTTGTCAATGAGGGTATGTGGATGCCTAGATTCTCAACAGCAGTCAGGCACTTAGCAAGTCCTTGCTTTTCCATGGAGACATTGTAGGGGACCTCGGGTGACGGTGAATAAAAGTGTAGCAAGAGGTCTCTTGTTAGCACTTGAAAAGTATACTAGTAGCACTGCAAGTTTGACTCTCAGACTTGCACCAGCTCAGTGTGTAAAATACAGCCATTCTGCATGGCAAGCACACTGTACGTGAGATACTTGGCGCTGTAGCCAGGAGAGTCACATCACCCATCACCGAGTGCATCCACCATGGCTGCTTGTTTTTTGAGGAAGAGCTGGAAAGACAGGTGACACAATGCATAGGTTCTTTTAGTATTCCACAGTATAATGAGGGGGCTGAAACACCTTGTACCTCCCATGTATTCGCTCTCAGCAGCAGAAGCGCTGCTTTTACCACTGGCGATTGCCCGGCATCCTACTAGAAATAAATCACGAACAGAAAATTTCTTTCATGACGTCACTGGTTAGGTCCCCAAATAGAGGGAAAGGACAAAAATTGAGAGGAGGAGGCTTGCCGCTGAAGCCCTCCTTTCCTACTTCGCATGCAAGCAGAATGCGCTCGTGCCTTTTTGCAGGTCCGCTGGCCACTTGGGCAGTGCGGCCATAAAATTTTGGTAACTTTTTTAAAAATTTTGTTCGTGTTTCTGAAGAGGCAAAAGTTAGGCTGACTGATTTCACTGTAAGACAAAACTCAATCGACATGAATGAAATGCTTTTTTATTGCATGTTTTGCATAAAAAACAGGTACATACACGTAATGTGAAAGTGTCAATCTATAAATGCAGCTCCAATTTACAACTGACATATGGACATAATGAGCAAACGTTGATAGCAATATCTGAACTAATGTTAATATCATCAACAATCGTGGATAGGACACATATTTGACTCAATAACACGCTTGTTATGACGACGGGCGTACAAATTGAGTACCAAACGAGACTGAAGTTCAGAGGCACGAAAAGGCTTGAAGCGATAAGAAGTTCTCGAGGAAGAACGTCGCTGGAAATAGTGTTTCGGCAAGTTCACTTGTCCTCGTGAGGGCAACAGCATTGCTTTGACGAAGAAAAGTTCACTTGTCAAAACTCTGCCTCCGTCGACATTCTCTGTAATAATATTTAGAAGCATTCAGTCCATCACGTGTATTCGAGTGACATTATTAGAAGCAAGGACTCACAAAATTTGAAACCATGGCTACAAGAATTTCATAAGCAGGAAGTGGCCTATGATTTGACATCATTTGAAGTAGTTGCCAAAAGTAAAAGTAGCTAAAACTATGTAGCCGAGCTAACTCGAATTCAAGCCTTTCAATAAATCCATTTTTTGGACAGGAGCTTGGCTGCCGTCTTCACCAATAAGTCAAGCGACACTGCACTTCTCTCAGTCCAGTCTGGCTTGCAGAGAACTGGGTTTGCTGATATGTACTCATGCAAAATCAATACTTGCTCCAATAATTGGTTCAAGTTCTTGTGCTCACCCGTTGCTTTTAGGAAACCCTGAAAAACCTTCACAGAACTACATCTTCGACGAATCTATGGTTTACTTGTTCGGCATAGCTCACTGTGGTTCATTCTCTGCCCGCCACAAGTTGCCGTCTTTATCTTTCTCATAGTTGACACGGTAACCGACCGAGATAACTGAGCGAAATCCAGCTTGTAATATCGCTGAGCGAGAGCCAAGAAGGAGCAGAGGCAAGTGCTACGAATGCAAGTCAATCACTCTTTGCGCTTAACCTGATTTAAAATTCACAAAATAAGGAATAAGAAAAAACATTTAGACAAAAAAAAAGTTCTTTACGGGACGTAGACTTTTTTGTTTGTGAAAACTTGTGATGGCCAATAAATGCGAACATTCACATTAATCTCACTTCGTTCAACCGGATCTTAGGATGCCCAGCAACTTCTACGAGCGTGCATGTTCTTTGAAACTGAAACTAGCGCAGAGTTTCCGGGGCCTGGTATAATAGCAATGATGTTTCATGCCGACATGCCCACGAGTATTCCACCACTGCTACATTTTTACCACTGTACAAGTTCATCATCTCAAACTCATTTCCATCATGAGTATTCATATTGCACAGTAAGATAAATAAGGCAGTATGCTAAAACTGTTTCTAAAACTATAATTTTTCCAGATGACTGGTTTCTACATTTTGATATTAGCAAGCAAAAATATTAGGCTTCTCTTTTGCATTGTAACTATAAAATCAGATGGGCTAGCTTTGTACAAGTTTTATGCAAAATGATTTCATGTTCTGAATTAAGATAACATTGACAAAGATATACAGATGGAAGCAAATGCTTTGCTATGTGTAAATCTATGGCAAAATTATGCTAAAAAAGTAAGATTCACTTAATGCAAGAGAAGTATAAGCATTTGTGGTCACGCTGCGTAATATGTCTACAAGTCTTGCTACAGTTATATTTAGATGTTGATCAATAAGTGCACCTGTTTTACTGCAGGGAGCAAGTAGGCCCTCTGGTAGTTGTAGAAGGCGCACTCCGTGATGACTTGAGCACCAAGGCATTGGATGGTTGCAGCCACCACGCAGCCCTAGTAGAGCATGCCAGCGGCCAGGAGAAAGTTGCCGGCTCCAGCGCCACTTCCTCGAACAAGTGGCTGGCTTCTCCACCGGAGCTTGTGCAGTTGCTCGCCCCTCTACAACGACCAGAGTTCGCATGATGCTGAAGTTCAGGTTGCCAACAACTTGGCCACATATGGAGCAGTTCATCAGTTCAAATACAATGAACTTTCATTCCCTGTGGAGAGGCTCTTTCATTGGTAGAATTCCAGTGCTGTTGTCTTGATGGATACTGCATCTGAATGACCCCACAAGACATGTTAGTGCTTGTGTGTTACTCAGTATTGTACAATGGACAAGTCACATGGCTTGGTTGAAAGAAAAAAAATTTAAGGCTTCATTTTTTCTTTGCTAGACATAATATTAATGAGAAGTAACCTACCATAATGCTATAAAAAGTATAGAGGACACTAATTATAGTAAATGTAATGTAATTGAGAAGAAATTGAAGTGGACAAAAAATTGCTTGCCAGCAGCTGGGACTGATCCTGCGACCGTGACCTAACACGTCCAATGCTCTACCAGATAAGTTAACACGGCAGCCATTCTCTCGTCCTCTTTATCCAGTATATATGTGCATTTACAAGTGTCAGCGCTACTAGCAACCATGACGGCGAGTGTGAAACAATTTTCTGTCTTTTGGTGTCGCGTAGCACGTGGTGGCGCTGATTGATGCACTCGCATTTAAGTGCACATATGTCCCCCATTAAGTGAACGAGGGAATGGCCGCCGCAATAGCTCAGTTAGTAGAGCATCGGATGTGTAATTCGAAGTTCACAAGTTCAGTCCCAGCTCACGAAAAGCAATCTTTTCATACACCTTTATTTTTAAAGGCGAAGCTCCTTATAGCGGCACTCATTCTTCCCTCGTAGCCATTGCAGTAGAGTGTAACAAGTATAATATTTTGACCTCCAAGGTGGTGCCGGTGAGAGATTTCATCTGTGCGTTGTTGAACAATAAAAGATAGTGCTCAATGTACATGCCAATGGCTGCTATGGGGGAGTGAGAGACAGGAGAATTCGGCTTTTAGTTAACGCACACGCTGCGAATTTTTTTTGTTCAACAACGCAGAGAAGACAAGAAAGAGATGCTATGTTATACTCGCTGGGCGTAACCTCCTATGTTTTAGAAAGGTTTAGCGAGCGTTGGGCCGCAGTGCCATGAATACAGTGAACTAATATATACCATGAACTCGAGGTGGTTAAAGGTGGGAAGTAGACACGAAGCACAAGCCGTAAGAAAGTGTGTGTGTGCCTCCTCTCGTTCAGTCCTTGGAATGTTCGCTGGATGGGGGTGCTTCTACATGAGGAATATATGATGAAAAGATGCGAGATGGTGGTACTTGGAGTGTTGAATAGGTGGACGAACGGACACACAGACAGATGCATGGACGAACGCACGGATGGCTGAACGGACGGATGGACGCATGGACGGACGCAGGAGCCGATGCATGGACGAAAGCAGGGATGGACGCACAAATGAACGTGCAGACGCACGAAGAGACGCACGCACGGACGGGCAGATGGAGGCACGGGCGGCCACACAGTCACACGCATGGATGGACGAAAAGCAAGAACGAATGGACGGACGGATGCTTCGTCCCACTATCCATCATTCACTTCGTGGATATGCTGCCATTTTTTTTCACATCTACATTACATTCACAACCAATAACGTCCTCTATACTTTCTTTGGCACTATTGTTCGTGAGTTCTCATTAATACGGCTTGGTTTTGTTAGTGGTAACTGACAGACAATTATGCCAAAAAATATAGGAGATGTTATTATAAAGTAAGTTTATTGTAACTGTGAAGAAAAATGGGCGAAAAAATAACTTGGCGTGGGCAGGGACTGAACCTGCGACCTTCGAATAATGCATCTGACACTCTACCAACTGAGCTACCATGCCGGCCATCCTCTTGTCCACTTTATGGAATATGTATGGTGCATTTAAATGTGGTAGTGTCAGTCAGCGCTGCCTGTTGCCATTGCAGCGAGGGTGGGACACTCATTTTTTGCCTATAGGCATCATACAACAGGTGATGTTCTTACGGCTGGCAGCTGACTAATATTCCCTGGCATACTACTGCCATGATGGCATTAAGTCTGCCAGAACGAAACCCTCGCTATGAATGAAAAAATTAGGGTTTCTTTAAGGGTGTGTTTTCTTTGTTAGACAATATAATGAGAACTGACTGGCAATTATACCAAGGAAAGTATAGGGGATGTTAATAAAGTAACTGTGATGTAACTGTGAAGAAGGTTTTAGCCGAAATCATTATGTTGCCTGTAGCATGTGTTGTGTTGCTTAGCATGTGGAAGCATTGCACAATGCAACAGAAAGTATATAAAAAGCCAGACCCATCAAAGCAAGGCTTCCTTCGACCACTATTTTTTGAATAAGAGATAGCCTCCTTCTTTTTTTTTTTTTAGACTGACATGAATAAAGTAAGACTTTTCAGTGTCCTTGAACTACGTGGTCTGCCCTTCTTGCATTTCACATTGCAACAAATCTAGCGATCAGTGCTAATGCCAGGCAACCTTCGAGAGGAGTTGCCGAGGTCAATCAGTAGAATAAGCACTGGGATATCTAATAGGTGTCAGCATCCACTCACCTGAAGCCATTAATTCACCTCCCATGATACTACTACAATTTTTTATTGCTTATGGTCTCGATTAACTTAATTTCTTCAAATACTTGTTAGTGTTTACTGATTACAAGTGCACTGGAGAAAAATTAAGTGGCCGATATAGGTAGTGTCGTTGAAGTCAAAAATTCAAGTATAATGTTGACAAATAGCTACAGCTCAATCGTGCACTAGTGACAGTTGCATTCTCGATAGGATCAGGAGGAAAAGCACTGCTAATGAATACCTGAATTTACAGTGCTCATTATTACATTGTGCTGTAGCAGAAATGCTAACGCAGCTTCAGTTAACCATCGCAGGGACCCTTTAGGTGCATCTCTTCACAACCAAGAAAATGTAATTGGCGCTCTTCATTTTAATAATAGCCGTATGCAGCACAAGTATACTATCACAAAACAGTCTCTCCATGAGCTAAGTGTAACATTGTTTGGAAGTCTTATATAAAGTAACTGGCAATGTCTTATACAAAAGAAGTTGGTGTATTAGCACATAAATAATGCGAAAATAGTGTCACATGAAATCATTTTACTGTTTCTTTGTGTCCACTGTGAAACTGCTTTGGTAGGTGGCAGCCCGTTGTAGATGCTGCGAAAAATGTAGTTGTACACATGTGTCAATGTGCCCCTTCTTATTTGGTGAACATCTGAAAACACGTGCTTGTAATAAAAGAAAGTGTTCATGAACCACAGAGTGCTTTCTTGTGAAATAAATCTTATGCTTTCGGCCGGACTGTGTTCTAGTCAGGCATAGGTTTCAGCATAAGTGGTGTACTAATCTTCCGCTGGGCCTAAGCGTACTCACTGCAGGGGAATGTGGTCTTCTATGCTCTTCGTTATCTCGTTAGAGGTTGTGGCGACATCTAAAAACACTGCTGTATTATAGAGCATCATGAATTGCAAATGAGTACCAACATTCTTTGTTACTGTTCTCATAGAAATCCTCTTGTCTAGCTAATATCAATAAAGAGGCTTTATAAATGTTGCTTATATACTCTAACTACTATATAAGATACACTCATATGAGAGACTAAGTGGCATAAAAGAAACCAGTGTGCCTACTTTGAAATAAGGTTGATGAGAAAATTTGCATGATTCTTCAGTTGCTCCCCAGTGCATGTCTCTTATACAGGTGCTCAACAAGGCCCATGGCCAGAATTAAGGGTGCCCTAGGGGCCTGCCCTACCCACCTTGAAATTTGGATGGAGGGGTGTGTTCTACCGAACATGAATAATGAAAATACGCGTTTTAAAGGCCCTCAGCAGGTGGGCCACTCCAGAAAATTTTCTGGCAACGGGCCTGCATTTACTTGTAAAAGCTCTTATGTGCATCAATATAAAATCTGCAGGTTGCCCCGTAATGCATGAAAGTGTCTTGGCAGGCTCTTCACAGGAATGGAACTGCCTCATCACATTCGTATAGTTGTAAAACACTCAGGTAAAAAAAATGAGCACGCAATACAGAATGGACCATTTGTGTTCTGGCAAAGATACTTGAACTGTCATGAACTACTCTACAGTGAACTAGCTCAGGCTGACCTCTCTGCCTTCTAATAAATTCTCACAACTACTCTGAGGTGAAATGTTTCAGGGTACAAAGGGGCTTAACTTCCTTTGTTGCAAACATGAAAGGGCACACCCAACCCCAGAGAATACCTGTCCCACGTGGTGGTTTCAGTATGTGAACTAGTTTGTGACTACATGTCCATCACATGTTAAAGATCCCTGGATGCTTGTAATACCTGCAGAAACTCTCGGTGACGTGATGGATAGATTGATATGGCTGTACCGTTTAGATCGGGGCGGTGGCTAACGCCAACAAGCCATGGTACTTAGTGAACCGAAAACTAGATTTTTTTTTCCCTTTAAATAGTGAGGTTGAAGACTCGTACTTTACAGTGAAGGGTTTAATTTACACTCGTGCCTTGACTTTAGCCACCAATCAGATAACGTCCTCCTAGTTAATTCTACCCGCTTAAAGTCTATTCCGTCCTCCCTGTCCCTAAACCCCAGTGCTTTGGAAAACTCTGCACCATCTTCCTGAACTATAGGGTTCAGGAACATTATCAAGTGTTTGGCAGTTTCCTCTTTCTCTCCACATGCACTGAATACCGTGTCTACTCCTTCGTACTTGGCCCGATATGTCCTGGTTCGCAATACGCTCGTCCTGGCCTCAAACAGAAGAGAACTACCCGGAGTATTATCATAGATCCTTTTCTTGGCAATTTCCTGCTTAAAAGTTTGATAGATCTCTAGTGCGGACTTCTTAATCATGCCAATTCTCCACATATCGGTCTCAGCTTTCATCACCTTCTTCTTAACCGATAATTCTTTTTGGTTTGGGCACCTGCTGTTTTCTAAGTATTTACCAGTCAATTTTCTGGTTCGCTTCCTTCATTTCGTATCGACATTTTTCATGTACAAGTAGCTGAAAACCTTCCTGGCCCAACGCTCCTCCCCCATTTCTCTCAATCGCTTCTCAAATTTTATCTTGCTGCTAGCTTCCCTGCCCTCAAATGGTGTCCATCTCATATCACCTTGTACTCCGTGATTTGGTGTATTCCCGTGAGCTCCTAAGGCAAGCCTACCTATTCCACATTGCTTAATTTCTAATCTTGCTTGAACTTCTGATCTCATGCACAAGACTGCATTGCCGAACGTCAGACCAGGAACCATGACCCATTTCCATTTTCCTCTAACAACATCGCACCTATTGTAATTCCTACCGTGCCCTGTTTTGCATCACTGCTGCATTCTTGTTAGCTTTAGTTGTCACGTATATTTCGTGTTCCCTTGGGTACTCGGTCCCAATGCTTATCCATACGCCCAGATATTTGTATTTATCTGTTATCTCTAGCGTGATTTCCTGTATTCTAAGCTCACTACCTTCGTTATCATTAAAAATCATGACTGTTGATTTTCCCTTACTGAATCTGAAATCTAACCTATCTCCCTCATTACCGCAGATATCCACCAGTCTCTACGAATCTTCCTTGTTGTCCACCATTAGCACTATATCATCTGCGTACATTATAGCTGGTAGTGCCTGTTCAATGAGTTTTCCTTGTTTGACGAAAGAGAGGTTTATGAGCCCAGTCCACTTCCCTCTAATCCTTGTAGGTACATCATGAATAACAAGGGTGACAGAGGACACCTCTGCCTAAACACCCGTTTTACCTCTGCAGGCTTGGATACCTCTTTTTCCCACTTTATAACTGCCTTGTTACCTTTATAGATATCCTTTAAAATATTAGTGACTCCACACCTAGTGTGTCCAGTATTCCTCACAAGTCCTCTTGAACCACGCTATCGTACCCTCCCTTGATATCCAAAAATGCTAGCCACAGGGGCCTGTGTTCCTTTTCTGCTATTTCAATGCACTGCGTCAGTGAGAACAGATTGTCTTCCAACCTTCTGTGTTTCCGAAACCCATTCTGCAGTTCCCCCAGCACCCCTTCATCCTTTATCCACACCTGCAGTCTTTCTTTCATAATCCGCATCCGGTACTCTGTTCAAGGAGGTTCTATAGAACCTCTGGAGTAGTAATCCCGGGCGCCGCCAATGGGAGGAAGTGAAGCCGCCAGCGGCCATATTGCTAGAGGAAAAACAGGGCGGAACCGCCATTGACCGTAATGGAATATGTGCGTTGCGAGCGTTGGTTTGCAGTTCTATGATAAAAAATGAGGTGGAAACCACTTTTAGGTTACACCAACGAATGCTTTTTCTTGTTTATTAAACAAATCATTTTATGTACCCATTGTCAGCTGCACACTATCAGATCAATCTGTTGTCGAGGGATGCTTCGCATATCGAGCTTGCTGGGGCACTATTGCAGTACAAAAGGGTTCTAGTATATATTGGGGTTTTAAAAATGTGCCTGCACATGTTCAAGATTAAGGGGAATGCGACATTTGCTCGCCTCTTTCATATATGTGCCTTTGTGTGTGTCGAATTAACCGTTTATACCCAAATTAACCGTTTATATCCTAGCGAAAATTCTGATAGAAAAACTGATAGGCTATCATGTTATTGACAGTTGTATCAGTCTATGAGTGTGTCAGTCTATCAGTGTACCAGTACTGGTGTACCAGCCTATAAGTGTAGTATTCTACTCTGATAGGCCCACAAGAGAATCTGTGTTTAGCCAACTGGCAGGTGCACCGCTACATCAGAGCAAGCAGGACCCAAATATGAACACAGAAATCAAACAAAATATTTTATTTGATAAGCCATTCCTTGGTTAATCTTTTGATTTCATGAAGTCATTAATTTTATTTGCCAAAGCTTTATTGAGGAGCTTCTTCATTTGCTCAACCTTTCCAATCAGAACGGTGTGCTTCAAAAAAATGGTTGAAGAAATCTGCATGATCAAAAACAAAGCAAGTTACAGGCACTTATTAAGCGACAATTATGTGCACTCTAAATAGAGGAGTCAATATGACAAGGAAATAAGTAGGAGTTCTACCAGTCTGTCTCTTTAATATTGTTTAAAATTAGTTTGTGGATTCTTGCATAAAAGTACCCAGCTCCAGTAAGCAAAAGCTACACTTGAAGCTTGAGTAAGTAATTATAACACAAGTTGGCAGTGAAACCTCGGCTGATTATCTGCAAAAATGGAGCCACCAACTTCAATGAATTTTGGTCAGATTGCAAAATTTCACCTACCTGAAAACACAGCATATGTTTCTTTCTCCAAGGGAGATTTCGCCTCCCCTTTAGACCGATTGGAGGCTGCGCCAGTAACACTTCTACCGACTAGGCCTGCTGTATAAAAAATGGCAACGGCCACTTCACGAACCAAACGGGTCTGTCTTTTCAAGCCCATGGGGTGATTGTACAACCTTTTGGGAACGGCAATTCCTTTGCTCCGATGCACTTATAAAACAAGTCAAAGATGATGTGCACACATTAGTTTGTCAATGCACATTTTCTCATTAAAGCAAAGCAATATATCTTCAAGACAAAGCATACTATAGTTTTATGATACCTCTCTGTCAGTGGGCACATAATTGATAAGCGGTGCAGCCTCCCTCACACTTGAGTGGGCTACTTCAGGGCTGTCCATGGTCACTGTGGTGGTTCCAGCGTGGCAGCACATAGTTGTGGCAAAAGTGCAAGTCATTTCTGTTTTTGAGGCTTGCGGCTACAAAACCCACAAAGGACAAGGTTCTTTGCTGCAATGAAAAAGTAGAGTGTGCAGAAACAAAGTATATTGCACCCTTAATTGTCACGGTAGCATCTTAGGTGTGCATGGTCAAATAATATATATGATAAACATAGCATGCAATTGAGATATACAATTAAAGTGTAATGATACGTTGCATGTCACGTCTCAAAACCATGGTGCGATTATAGGGATGCCGTAGTGGAGGGCTAAAAAAAATGCTGACCAAGTGGTGTTCTTTTTAATATCCACCACACTGTGAAAGTTGTAAAAGCACATTTTCAAGTGATTAGAAAAACATGCATGCATCTCTGCCACCCATGAGCTTACATTGCATTCCGCTTTTCAGCAAAATTGCACGCTATAAGAATAAGGCAACTTGCTGCTGCATACAACCCTATCAGCAGTGCGTTACAACAGCTTATGAAGAAATGATAAACCTTTTTGGAAATTTTTGCTGCGAAGGGCATTTTCCAGTAGGCTTATTCTTTCTAATACCTTTGTATTTTGAGCCCTCAGCATATATATTCACTTCTTTCAGAAGCTCTTCCTCTGTTCTTTTTTTCAGCATCAGCAGGCCTCGCTGCTGCTTCTTAAAATGGTTACTGACGTGCTTTGTCTTCGGCTTAACAGCAGCTTGAGGTCGTGTTTCTTACAAGTGCAGACAACCCAACACACAAATTTCACTGCTAGTTCGCAAGCACAAACAAGGCCTATATCCGCACAAGCAAAAATAATTTTAAACCAGTCACTTGTACAAAAAAATGTGACTAAGCTGCGCTCATACCACGATAGAATAAAATACAAATAGCTCTTCAGCATACTGCAACTTTACTACCGCCTTCAATACGACGTTCCGGCGCCCGCGCAGTAGTGGAGCAGCAATGCTCTGATATATTTACTAAGGGGGCGGGGAGTATATCGGAGCATTGGTGCTTCATGTGGGACACGGCACCACGTGCAGAGCAAAATTGGCTGTCGATTGTAATTGCACTGCAGTAGCACATCAGCCGCAATGTCAACGATAGCCAAACTTGGCTGTCGCTAATAATTACGCTGCAAGTAGCATATCAGCTGCAGTGTGACCAATTGCAACTTACTTTTCAAACGACTCATTGTCCACTTCATTTGAACTGCAGCTATCGAAGGAGTCGCAATCGGGTCTGCGGAATGGTCATTTTTCTGTTGCATTCCTTGCATCAACCTCGGTGCCTAAGAAAATATGACCAGTAAATAACTTGTTTTGTTTTGTTTCCCTGGGCGGTTGGCTCATACCCACTCAGGGAGATTGGCCAAGAAAGTGTAGTGCAGTTTTTCTGTGATCATTTTAACTATGTCTAATGAATTGGTATTATAATAAGACTAATGTAAAAATAAAAACAATATAAAAAGAGCTAACAGAAAAAAAAAATCAAGTTGAGCAATTTTGAGATTTGAGGTGTTATGATTACCACTCAGCTGCGTTTACTTCACTCTGCCCTGGGGAGTAATAAATAATTTTTTTGATTGAAGATCACAAAGGTGTACGCTTGGTTGCCTGAATATAATCGCAAACGGCATTGAAAGCATCCCTGTGGCAATGTCCCAAAGCTGAGGCGCCAAAGCTTAGCGCCGTTTCCGCCGTCAATCTAAGGCCTATTTTCCGAAATGGCATAACTAGTAACCTTTTTCTAAGTATCTCGTAGCGGCGACAATACAAAAAATAATGATCTAGTGATTCCATTTCTCCGCAGAATGCGCAGAGGGGTGATGTTGTGTGACCAGCTCTGTGTAGATACAGGTTTAGGGGGGGGACACGACATCGAAATTTAGTAATTAAGACTTCGAGCTTTCTGGACTGACTCCAGTGGGGTTGCCATGGAAACATGAGGTGGTTATAGTCTGTCCATGTAGTTACTTTTTCTATCGTATCAGTGGAGATTGCTGATTTTCGATATCTTATAGCCGTGATATATTCAACATCTGGCAGTATGGACAAAACTGGCCCATCAAGTGCGGCTCGTGCTAAGGAATCGGCCAATTCATTTAATCTTAATCCACAGTGTCCCGGAACCCATAGTAATCTCATGAGTCTCAACTGCGGGGGTACTAATGTTTTGAATGTGTTTAGAATTCGAGAGTTCTCTGAAGCTGTCAGAGCTGCACAAACTGAAAGAGAATCCGTCATTATTACTGCGTTGTTTTGATTTGATGGAAGTTTTTGAAGAGCTAAAATAATCGCCAAGAGCTCCGCTTCAAAAACTGGAGTAAAATCAGGCAGTCTCACTGAAAAGGACCAGTCAAGCAAATCAGAGGCAATGCCTACACCTGCCTTTTGATTATTTACGGAAGCATCTGTGGCTATTATATTTTTAGTTTCTGCATGCTCCAAGTAATCTAATAATATGTCATTTAAAAATTTGAGGGATTGTAATTTGGCGTTTTGGGGGAATATATCATCATACTCAATAATAACATGACAATTCGAGTCATTAGTCTCAATTACATTTCTAATGTTCACATTTATACTTTGTAGACTTTTTTGTACAAACATTATCTGAGGTGTGTGAAACCGTGGCCAATGAGCAAGAAAGAAGGCGTCTGGGTTTGCAATAAAAGCATATTGAGATCTTCTTGCCGGTAAGCTATAAAATTTTAAAAATGCTTGTACGGTCAAAATTCGAAATCGACAAAGTAGTGTAGGCAGGCACGCTTCCTGGTACAGTACGTTGATAGCCACAAATCTAGAGAGTCCCAGGCACATTCGCAGTGCTTCTCGCTCCAAGACAACTAGAGGTTTCGTTTTATAAGCAGGGCCACCCGAGAATAATATGCAGCCGAATTCCATGATGGGGCGCATGTACATCTTGTACAACGTTATCAAGGTGTGCCTCCGTAACCCATATTTCCGGTTACTTAGCTTGTGTAGTAAGCCTAGAGCCCGCTGTGCTTTGGTAGTTATATACTCTATGTGTGGACTCCAGTTAAGTTTGTCATTATAAATGATTCCCAAATATTTTATAGAGTCTACTTGCTGGATGGGTTCCTGTTTATATAGAATTGAAATTGAGATTGGTTCTGCAAGCGTAAATGCCAAGAGCGCGCTTTTGTTGACATTTAACGATAACGAAATCGACTGCAACCAAATTTCTAACATGTTAATATATCTTTGTAATTTAAGTTGTAATGAGTAAATACCACAGTCAGCAGCAAAGAGTGCGATGTCATCAGCATAAATGTAGACAGTAACTTCTTGATCTGTTGGAATTGTGCTCATTAAAGCATTAAATAATATTGGAGATAAGACTGCTCCTTGGGGAACTCCGCGCGTTTGTTTAAATCTAGATGAGGAACATCCATCCTTGACGCAGTAGAATTCTCTTGATTTTAAGAATTCTGCCACCCACTCAATAAAATATTGTGGAAAGTTCAATCTCTCTAGCGTATTTAACAATATGAAGTGCTCCACACTGAAGTGCTCCGCCTTGGCTATGTCAAGCGTTACTAAAGCAGCGTATTGCCTTCTTTTACGCGCGAGCTGTATTCGGCTCTCTAAATCAGCATGGGCACACCAAATTGAGAAATCACTACGAAAGCCGATTTGGTTCGGTTTTATTACTAAATTGTTTGCCATCCAGATACTTACTCGGCTATGTAGGACCCTCTCTACTAGTTTGACCATGTTAGATGTTAGAGAGATTGGTCTGATATTATCGACTGTTAATCCTCCACCCGGATTTTTCAGTATAGGAATCACCTTTGCTATCCTCCAATCCTGTGGCACCCATGAGTTTTTTAAGGAGTAGTTAATAACATTGGCGACGTCTCGAGGCGATAAATTGAACAGAATTTTAATCATGGGTACTGCGATTCCATCTGGGCCAGGAGATGCACAGGGTAAATGTTTAATCACATTGGATACTTCAGTCTGTGTCACTTCTTCAAAGTCAGACTTTGTCGTAGACTTGTACCAGTTGTTTGGCACTACTGAAGTGAATCTGCTTTCCAGATCTTTACCGATTGCCTCTAAGGTGGTGGTCATTTCTTGTGCCGACAGATTATCACAAGCTACATCAACTGGTGATGGCAAGATTTTCCGGGCCCTCATATATCGGAACAGTGCTTTCGTATGTTTAGGCTTCGACAGGTATTCATAATGTCTTCTGTCATGATCTTGTTTAGCTTGAGCTACCGTTCTTTTAAAGCCCGCAGCAATGAATTTATAATTGGCCCAGTTTTGTGGGGATTGATTATGTAAGAGCTGCTTCCAAGCTGCCTGACGTCGTCGGTGCTCTCTTGTACATTCATCATTCCACCAACGGCTATATACTCTTTTTGTGGATTCAACAGTAAATTCGGCTCTTTTGTAGGATCGTTTAATGACTGTGTTTATTTTCAGTGCTTTTTTATCATCGCTCTCTTCCGAGTGAAAAGCAGTGCTGACTTCAGGTCATTCCTAAATTTAGTGTAATTTACAAATACTCTTACATTTGAACAAGATGGAATTATCGGACAAGAAATTTCAAAACTTATCGGTAAGTGGTCACTGTTGGTGCCACAGTCCAGCGCTTTCCAAGAAAAAGTAGTAATGGCTGAACTGACAAAACTTAAATCTAAGGCCGACCTGGAGTGATTACGAATAAATGTGGGGGTTCTGACGTTGAGGCACGTCAGGTCATTAGCCATTGTCTACTCCCACAAGCGTTTCCCACTAAGATCAGTTCTAAAACCCCAACTCGTGTGGTGGGAATTAAAGTCTCCAACTAAAACTTTGTCTTTGCACCACGATTTTGTAGCTAGATCCAAACTTCGTGTGTCCTTGAACTCCATCCGGAAAATACATATTAACTAAAGTGAAAGGAGTGCAGTTGGGCAGTGGAATGTCTACTGCCAAAATTTCGCATTCAGGCGACATATGTTTGTATGAGCATTTGACTTTCATACTAATTCTATTATTAATAAAGAGAGCTAGACCCCCACCTCTCGATGGACGGTCTAATCGAAAAGATTGGAAGTTATTTAAATGGAACAAATTATGTACAGATAGCCATGTCTCTTGTAATGCTATAATATCGGGAGCGAATTTAGAAGTCAAGTATACCAAATCCGTAGATGCAGAATGGATTGATCGGCAATTCCAATGGAGAATCTTAAGCGACCCTATGGTTTCGAAAGAGCTGCTTCCGCTATAGCTTTCTCTAGAATGCTTTCTTTCAAGAAATCCCTCTTTGAAAGGCTCTCCTTTTCTTTCAGATACTTTTTGTTCTTTGTTTGTTTCGGTGAGTTAGTTTTCCTTGACACAGGGGATATAGATCTCTTCAGGGACCTAGGGTCCAAATCCATGTCATCGGAATCTATTGTATATGCAGCTTTGTCCTCACTTACACTCTGTATATCTACTGCAGAGGGTGCTGTAGACGGAGAATACGATGGTGCGGTTTCAAATTCCTCATTTTGGCTGTGGACGCCTATTGCAGAGGCTCCTGCGGGCTGATAATACGATGGCGCAGTTTCAGATTCACTGTCAGCTATTGGTCGTGAACTCTCAACATGTTGGGATACTAGGCCTGACTCTCCCGCTGTACCAAATATGCGAGTCATCTGGTTAGCCAAAATTTGAGATAGAGAATCGCAAAGGTTAGAAGTCAGTCGTTCCATGGCTTTTTCTAGAGCCTTTTCTATGGCCTCCGCTATATTCAGGGAAATCGACCCATTTATTTCCGAGAGATGTCGTGCTGCAACACTGGCATACCCCTGAGTTCTAGTCTGTATTTCCGCTATGGCTTCTCATCGAGAACAGCACCTACGCCCTATAATTTCAAGAATTTGCATTTCTCGAGCCTTTGCAGAACAATCAGGATTATCTGCACAGTGTTGTTCGTTGCAGAGACAACATTTCTCTTCTTTAGCTTTGCAGTAATTTGTTTCGTGGTTGTCACCACACACTCGGCATCTGAGTTCTGACCTGCATCCTTTAATAGTGTGACCGTATCGCCAGCACTTCGTACACTGGAGTGGTCGCAGTGATAGCGGTTCCACTCTGTATATTAGTGGCCATGCCTTGATTTCGCTTGGGAGATTCGCTCCAGCAAAGGTTACAATTACCGACTCAGTCGGCGTCTTCTGCTTCTCTACTAGTCGTGCACACCTATAAACGGAAATAGCACCAGTCACGGCAAACATCTCTAATACCTGAGACGGGGTCAAGTTAACATCGACACCGCGAACAATACCTTTCACACATGCCAGATGCGGGGGAATAAAGGCGCTCACCGGATTGGTCGCGAAACTCGAGCACTTCAATAGGTCTTGGACACAGAGCTGATCAGATGAAAAACATAGAATACCACCTCTGCCGAACTGGCGGACCTCTGTGATGCTGTGAAAGTGAGACGTCGCAGCTCTAAGCTCCGCCTGGATCACTTTCGGATTCTTCATCCGAATGAAGCCGTCATTGCTAGGGACGAGGGCCACAGGAACTGCGGGAATGCCGTTGCGTAGAAA